AGTATCATATGGCTTACACGTCTTAGAATGCAATGTGCCCCCTCAAGTTCTCCTTACCTTTTGCCCAGTTCTTTTTGCTTCCAGCTTTATTGTGATATAATTGACATATAACATTCTATAAGTTTAAGGTCTACAATGTGATAATTTGATAACATATATATTGCAAATTAATTACCACAATAAGGTTAGTTAACACATCCATCACCTCAATTACCATTTTTTGGGTAAGAATATTTAAGATTTACTCTTTTAGACACTTTCAAGTACATAATACAATATTGTTAACTATAGTCACTGGGCTGCACATGAGATCCCCAGAACTTAATTGTCTTATATCTAGAAATTTGTACCCTTTGACCAACATCTCCCATTTCCCTACCACCCAGCCCCTGACAACTACCTTTCTATTCTCTGTTTCTATGAGTTTGGCTTTTTTAGATTCCACATATAAGTGAGATCATACAGTATTTGTTTTTCTTTGACTTAATTTCCCTTAGCATAATACCATCAAGGTCCATCCATGTTGTCACAAATGGCAGGATTTTCTTCTTTTTATAGCTGAATTATTCAGCTTATTTATTATATATATAAATTTTTTTATTGTCAATGAACACTTAGGTTGTTTCCATGTCTTATTGTGAATGATGTAGCAATGAACAAGGGGGTACTTTATTTTGGAGGTAGTGATTTTATTTCCTTTAGAAATATACCCAGAAGTGGAATTGCTGAATCATATGGTAGTTCTCATTTTAATTATTTTTAAGGAAACTTTACTGTTTTCAATAGTGGATGCACCAATTTACATTCCTACCAAGAGTGCTCAAGGGTTCCCTTCTCTCCACATCCTTACCCCCACTTGTTATCTCTTGTCTTTTGGATAACAGTCTTTCTAGCAGGTGTGAGGTGACTTCTCATTGTGATTTTAATTTGCATTTCCCTGATGGCTAGTGATATTGAGCATCTTTTTATGTACTTATTGGTAACGATTTGTATGCTTTCTTTGAAAAGTTGTCCAGTTAGGTCCTCTGCCCGTTTTTTAATCAAATTATTTGTTTTTGTTCTTACTTCTTGCTATTGGGTTATATGAGTTCCTTATATGTTTTGGATATTAATCCCTTATCAGATAACATGGTTTATAAATGTTTTCTCCAAATACATAGGTTGACTTTTCATTTTGCTGATTGTTTCTTTTGCTGTGTAGAGCCTTTTAGTTTGATATAGCTCCACTTTTTAATTTTCAGTTTTGTTGTTTCTGTTTTTGATGTCAGATCCAAAAAATTATTGGCAAGACCGTGTCAGGTTTTCTTTTAGGAGTTTTATTGTTTTAATTCTTATAGTTAAGTTTTTAATCCATTTGGAGTAAATTTTTGTGAGTGGGGTAAGATAGGGGCCAAACTTCATTCTTTTGCATGTGCACATACAGTTTTCCTAACACCATTTATTGAAGAGACTGCTCTTTCCCCATTGAGTAATTTTGATTCCATTATCAAATATTAGTTGACAGTTTATGCATGGGTTTATTTCTGGGCTCTCAATTCTCTTCCATTGGTCTATGTGTCTGTTTTGATATGAACATTATTCTGTTTTGATTACTATAGCTTTGTAACATAGTTTACAGGAAGTGTGATGCCTCCAGGTTTGCTCTATCTCAGAACTGCTTGGCTATTTGGGGTCTTTTGTGGTTCCATATGAATTTTTTTCTATTTCTGTGAAAAATATCATTGAAATTTGGATAGCTATTGCATTGAATCTATAGATGGCTTTGGGTAGTATGGACATTTTAACAATATTGTTTCTTCTAATCCATGAACACAAGATATCTTTTCACTTATCTGTCTTCAGCTTCTTTCATCAGTGTCTTATGTTTTAAATAATTTTTTAAAAATATGTTTTTATTGATTTCAGAGAGAGGAAGGGAGAGGGGAGAGAGATAGAAGCATCAATGATGACAGAGAATCATTGATCAGCTGCCTCCTGTACACCCTCTACTGAGGACTGAACCCATAACCTAGGCATGTGCCCTGACCAAGAATCGAACTGTGAGCTCCAGGTTCATGGGTTGATGCTCAACCATTGAGACACACTGGCTGGCCTTTTATGTTTTCAGTGTGTAGGTCTTTCACTCCTTTGTTAAATTTATTCTGAGGTATTTTGTTATTTTGATGCAATTATAAATGGGATTGTTTCATTCATTTCTTTTCCAGGTAGTTTGTTGTTAGTGTATAGAAACACGATTGATTTTGTATGTTGGTTTTGTATTTTGCAACTTTACTGAATTTATTAGTTCTAACAGTTTTTGTTTTTTTTTTTTGGCTTTTGGTGGAGTCTTCAGGATTCTTTACATATAAGGTCATATCATCTGAATACAGATAATTTTACTTCTTCCTTCCCAATTTGGATGCTTTTGTTTCTTTTTATTGCCTAATTACTCTGGCTAGGACTTCCACTATACTCTGTTGAATAGAAGTAGTAAGAATACTTCTTGCCCAGCTTTTACCTGAGAGTGTACATCACTATTTGATAAAGAGCTGGAGGATGGTGGCACGTGGAAGTAAAACTCAGTGTTGTGATCCACTCACATCAGTACCATTGGAGTTAAAGAAATGCTACTTAATTACCTGGTTGTTACTCATCCTTGGTGTTTGAATCAGAGACAAACACAGAGGAACAAGATGTGTTCATACTGTTTGTCAGGGACTTTATTTTCTTGAGACAAAGCTTAAGTGTCCTGGGTGCTCCTTAATATAGCTCAGTTACTTTTTCATGAATGTAGATGCTTTTGGATCCTGCCATTAATTTTCCATCTTTCTTAGTTTTAGGTGGTAAGGTAGGTTTTCAAGTGTTCATGTCTTTTCATGGGTGTTTTGGTGGACAATGGGAGAGGCTGTATGGGAGGAACGGTGACCATATGCCATTTAAAAAAAATTGAAGTATAATTAACTTTTAAAAAACTATGCCATTTTGTGGACAGAGGGCCTGAATGGACACTTCTCTAAAGAGGCCATACAGATAGATGGCCAATAGACATATGAAAAGATGCTCAACTTCACTAATCATCAGAGAAATGCAAATTAAAATCACAATGAGATGTCACCTCACACCTGTGAAAATGGCTACCATCAATAAATCAACAAATAACAAGTGCTGGCCAGGATGTGGAGGAAAGGGAACCCCTGCGCACTGTTGGTGGGAATGCAGATTGGTGCATCCACTGTGGAAAACAGTATGGAGTTTCCTCAAAAAATCAAAAATGGAACTGCCTTGTGACCCAGTGATTCCATCTCTGAGTATATGTCCTTGGAAACCCAAAACATTAATTCAAAAGAATATATGCACCCCTGTGTTTATTGCAGTGTTATTTATAATAGCCAAAATATGGAAGCAACCCAAGTGACCATCAATAGACAAGTAGATAAAAAAAGCTGTTAGATATATATATATGTGTGTGTGTGTGTGTATATATATATATGTGTGTGTATATATATACACACACACATATATATATATATCTAACACACACACATATATATGTGTGTGTATATATATATATGTATATATATATATGCAATCTTAATCTGCAACAGCATGGATGGACCTGGAAGTTTTTATGCTAAGTGAAATAAGTTAGAGAAAGACAAATGGCATATGATCTTACTTATATGTGGAATCTAAAGAACAAAATAAATGAACAACCAAAATTGAAACAGACTCATAGAAACAGAGAACAGACTGATGGATGCCAGAGGAGAGGGAGTTTGGGGATTGGGTGAAAAAGATAAAGGGATTAAGAAAAAAAGATTTTGGTCAAAAATAGAAAAGAAAAGAAATGAAGTGGCCTGGTCCACTTATAATTCTAGTTCCACCACATTACAAACTCCCTGAGGTCAAGGATATAGTCTGTCACCAATGCCCAGAACAGTGCCCAGCACGTAGTAGGCACTCAATACATATTTGTTTTTTGTTTGTACATATTTAAATAATTTTATAATAAAAATAATTTAAAAGAAAAAACTATGTCATTTTTTACTGGAACGTGCCCAACCTGGAGAGTATTTACTCTTCCAAAGAATGATTAATTGAAGCCCTACTCATCTCTTAACTATTTTACTATTTCTAGTATACCCTCAGGTGATGAACGGTGGGTCCTTTTGTTAATAAAACTGAACAACTAGTCAAAATCTGCTCTTGATTATCCCTGCTACACAAGGCCCTACTTAAGAAATGTCGCTGCCTGCTCCTGCTCCCTGGGGGCGCCCAGATGTTTTTTCCAGTGTGTGCAGATCAGATCCTGAATGGGGTCCAGTGAGCCTCAAAGTTCCAACTCTTTGTCCCCATCACAAATGTGGGGTCTGTGGGCTTGTGCACCTGCCTCCACCCCTCAGCCAAGTCACCTTCTCATTCACTGATTGTCACAAACATCAGTGTCTACACTATGTCGTAGTACAGTGAGATTTCCTGGGCTGTAGGGAAACTGCTATCTCTTCCATATAGCAGCTTTGGCCTGACATGCCTTCTGACTTCTTCAATGTACTTATTAATATTTATCTGTCTTTCCCTCTTTTATCAGTGTGTCACTCTAGGAACTTGATGTTTACAGATGATGTCAAGTGCTGAATCCTGTTTCTCTGAATGTTTTGCTTCTGGCCTAATGTGAGTTGGAAAAACACATATCCATTTTCATGGGAATTATGTCAAAAACAAGATCCTGTGACTAAAAAATTATGTGTGATTTCAATGCCCCTCACTAGCCTGTAAGAGCACTTCTAACTTCTACCTGTAGGTGGTCCCAGGCAGGTGTGATTTTGGGCACTCTGGTGTGGCACAGGATCCTGCCTTGTGGCCAGCACAGCTGCCATTGCCGCTCACAGGATACCCCTGTATGAGTTAGGCAGCATTATGATTTTCATGGTGAGTAAAATAATTGAGACTTTGTATTTAGTAGTGGAGGTTTGAGAGCAATCACTCACTCTTTATACATCTTAATGTAATTATATTTCTAGAATTTGGATGCATATCAAGATGCTCTGAAGAACAGCAATAACCCTTTGGGCAATAGCTGCTTCAACATCATGACCAAGGACAAAGCGTCCATTGTCAGAAGCTTTCATTCTGTTTACATCATAATCTTAATAGTTGGGACCATAATCCAGTTCTCTGATGAAAATGACTTTGCAGTAAATAAGTCAAATAAAGGCCTTATTCACGTTCCAAAAGACCTGCCACCCAAAACCGAAGTCTTAGATATATCTCAAAACTACATATCTGAGCTTCACCTCTCGGACATCAGCTTTCTTACAGGGCTGAAAGTTTTGAGGCTTTCCCATAATAGACTCCAGTACCTTGATATTAGTATTTTCAAATTCAACCAGGACTTGGAATATTTGGATTTATCGCACAATCAGTTGCAGAAGATATCGTGCCATCCTATCACCAGTCTCAAGCATTTAGACCTCTCATTCAATGACTTTGATGCCCTGCCCATCTGTAAGGAATTTGGCAACTTGACTCAACTGAATTTCTTGGGATTAAGTGCTAAACATTTACAACAATTAGATCTGCTACCAGTCGCTCACCTGCATCTAAGTGGCATCCTTCTGGATTTGGAAAGTTATTATGTGAAAGAACATGAGACAGAAAGTCTTCAAATTCTGAATACAAAAACACTGCACCTCGTTTTTCACCCAAATAATTTCTTCTCTGTCCAAGCAAACATATCAGTTAATAGTTTAGGGTGCTTACAACTGAGTAATATTAAATTGAATGATGAGAACTGTCACCTTTTAATTAAATTTTTATCGGAACTAACTAGAGGTCCAAACTTACTGAATTTGACCCTCAACCATGTGGAAACAACTTGGAGATGTTTGGTTAGAGTTTTTCAATTTCTTTGGTCCAAGCCTGTAGAGTATCTCAATATTTACAATTTAACAGTAGTTAAAAGCATTGATAAAGAAGACTTTACTTACAGTGAAACATCATTGAAAGCATTGAAAATTGAACATGTTACAAACAGAGTTTTTCTTTTTTCACAGACTGCAGTATACACCGTGTTTTCTGAGATGAACATTATGATGTTAACCATATCAGATACACCTTTTATACACATGCTTTGCCCTCAAGCAACAAGCACATTTAAGTTTTTGAACTTTACCCAGAATGTTTTGACAGATAGTATTTTTCAAAAATGCTCCACTTTAGTTAGATTGGAGACACTGATCTTACAAAAGAATAAATTAAAAGACCTTTTCAAAGTTGGTCTCATGACTAAGGATATGCCATCTTTGGAAATACTGGATGTGAGCTGGAATTCTTTGGAATATGATAGACATGACAGAAATTGCACTTGGGCTGAGAGTATACTAGTGTTAAATTTGTCTTCAAATATACTCACTGACTCTGTTTTCACATGTTTACCTCCCAGGGTCAAGGTTCTTGATCTTCACAGTAATAGAATAGCGAGTATCCCTGAAAATGTCGTCAGTCTGGAAGCTTTACAAGAACTCAATGTTGCTTTCAATTCTTTAGCTCACCTTCCTGAATGTGGTACCTTTAGCAGCCTCTCTGTACTGACCATTGACTATAATTCAATTTCCAACCCATCAGCTCATTTCTTCCAGAGCTGCCAGAAGATTAGGTCCATAAATGCAGGGAACAATCCATTCCAATGTACATGTGATCTAAGAGAATTTATCCAGAGTATAGGCCAAGTATCACGTGAAGTGGTAGAGGGTTGGCCTGACTCTTATAAGTGTGACTATCCAGGAAGCTATAAGGGAACCCTACTAAAGGACTTCCATGTGTCTCCATTATCCTGCAACACAGCTCTGCTGATTGTCACCATTGTGGTCACTGGACTGGTGTTGGCTATTACTGTGACTGTCCTCTGTATCTGTTTTGATCTGCCCTGGTATCTCAGGATGATGTGTCAGTGGACCCAGACCCGACACAGGTCTAGGAATATACATTTAGAAAAACTCCAAGGAACTCTCCAGTTTCATGCCTTTATTTCATACAGTGAACACGATTCTGCCTGGGTAAAGAATGAACTGGTACCTTGCCTAGAAAAAGAAGGTATACGGATTTGTCTCCATGAAAGAAACTTTGTTCCTGGCAAGAGTATTGTGGAAAATATCATAAACTGTATTGAGAAGAGTTACAAGTCCATCTTTGTTTTGTCCCCCAACTTTGTTCAGAGTGAGTGGTGCCATTATGAACTCTACTTTGCCCACCATAATCTCTTTCATGAAGGATCTAATAACTTAATTCTGATCTTGCTGGAACCCATTCCACAGAACAGCATTCCTAGCAAGTATCACAAGCTGAAGGCTCTCATGGCACAGAGGACTTACTTGGAATGGCCCAAGGAGAAGAGCAAACATGGACTTTTTTGGGCTAACATTAAAGCTTCTTTTAATGTGAAATTAATACTAACTACTGAAAACAATGATGTGAAAACTTAAATTTTAAGTCAGCCAGGAAATCCAACTTAAGGAACCATCATAAGCATGGGTTCTAATGAACACCATGATATTAAGTTATTGTCTAGATGGTGCTGGCATCATCTCTATGTGTTCAAGAAAGACTTAACGACAGTCATGTTTCAATTGAGTTGGGGAACCAGACTGGGGGCTGTGATGGTGCTCACACTTGCCCATTATGATTATAGATAGCTCATTCTCCTCTGGTTTAATCATTCTGTTGCAAATTGAAACAGTCTCATTTGAGTAAATGCTCAGTCATTCAAGGATCTTCCCTCTCCCTTTGCCTTTCCCAAATGGATTCTGTGTGAGCAGGAGTTTATGGGACTTCATGGCAGCAAGGAAAGAGTCAACCTCACAACTGCATGCAGTCAGTGGTCCTTGGAGTGTCCTATGCATTCTCATTGGCCTCTGGGTGAGCTGTTCAACTTTAGGGCTTGGGAAAAAGACCAATTGTGGAAAATAAAGACATCTTTTTTCTTCACATCTGAATAATCACTTGTTAAATTGCTGACCTAGCTACACAAATATGCAGTAGTTTGTGTATATAAAGGAAACTATAGCCTTAGTCATGGGCTGCTGAGGCCAAAGACTTGGATTTACCTGCTTGCCAAAAAAACCTCAGAGCCAAATTTATTTATTTATTTGTTTATCGTATAGGACATTATGGTGCTTTAGAATTTTGGAGAATGCCTCAAAGCTGACAAAAGGTGCATTTTAAATGGAAATATTAGACACAGACTAGACTTACTAAAAAATAGCAGAAAGAGACAAGTAATTATCAACCCATGTTACCATTTACAGAGGACTAACTTTAAGAGAGTCATCAAGTAGAGGTTCTAGACCTGTGGGCAGATAGCTTTGGATTTCTTCCAAAGGCAATGAGAGGGACCCTGAACATAGTGGAAGAGTAGTCTGGCAGCCCACTCTCAGCCTGAAGGCTTACAGGGTAACAGGAATGCACAGCCCAGTACAGCAGAGAGTGTATGGTGTGGGAGCTCTTGGAAGAGCTTGATGAATGTCTCCTGGAGTTTTGGTGGTGGATCGGGCAGTGAACATAGAGAGTGGATAATGCTTTACAAATATAAGTGTGTGATAAATTTGAATGAATGAACAAGTGCTTCCTACCTGGAGAATTCAGAAGAAGAGATATTGGTTTGGGCAGCCCAGCACGACAGAATGAGAAGAGAAAGGAAGAATTGACTATCATCTGCCCCTTCATTTCTTGGCATGGCAAATTTCCTGTGGGCCACGCCGGCCATGGAAAGGGTAGCTGGGATGAAGTTGTTATGATGGGGCCTCAGCTATTCGGGCAGCCTGTTGTACAAAGGGGCTATAGTGGTAAGAGGGCATGGGGCTAGGGCAAAGAGGTGTATGGGGAGAGGGTTACTGCTAGACGTCAGCAGGAGAATGTGCCACATGCATCAAGGAACTGTGCAATGTGGGATCTGCCATAGGCTTCTTTCATGGCATCCCGTGAAAGAGCCAGCGTTTGGACTCTGCCATAATGAGAGGCAGAGGCATGATGACCTGTCTGCCTTATCCAATAGTTCGGGGAGATTTGCTCCTCTCTGACTTCTATACTCTTCCCTTGTGGGACATTCAGAATATAGAGAAGACAGAGAAATGGAGGCAGAGTAAAGGAACTGACCACACTCCTTCCTCACTGCTCAGAATAAAGGCCTGAGCTAGGGCCAAGCAGAATTTTGAATTAGGTGTGAGACTGGTGTTAAATTGGACTGGCCTGGACATTTTAATGCCTGAAGTAGAGGTGCAAATGTTAAATGAGACTTGTCACTAAAATCTATGGAACCTGCCCCAAATTCAGAATATATCCTGACAGAGGGAGATTCAACAAAACCTGGCTAGAGGGCAGTGGTTAAAGAGAAAAGGAAGCCCTTTCCTTACGGACTTAACTCATCCAATAAACTAGCTTCACAATTAATAATTGTAAAGAAATAAACCTTAATGAAATTTTATTAGAGTCATCATCTGTGCATTAGCCCCTCCTTGTTATTTGGGAAAGCACTGACTCCTTCACAGGTCCCCTCCTAAGTGGTAAATTTTCCTTCGCCTCTGTTAGACTGTTTCCTAAACTAAAAACCAAAACAAGCACAAAAACAAAAAACTCAAAAAAAAAACCCAAAACAAAACAAAAACCAGCAACAAACTATGTCACACATTCTAAATGATCAAATATTTTTAAATGGTTTCAGTGTGTTTCCCAGAAAATATTGTTGACATGGAAAAGAAAAGAATTTTGATATTTTGAACTGGAATTAAATAAAACCTACATTTCTGTCACATATGAAAACATCCACACATTTCAGACATATGAAAGCTCTATCATAAGAGGTCATTTAATGTTAATTACCTCTTTAAAGTCCCTATCTCCAAATGTAGTCATATTCTAAGGTACTGGGGGCTAGGGCTTCAACATATGAATTTTGGATAGAGCACGATTCAGTCCATAACAGATGACTGTGCAGATTAATTGAAAAATGTTGTGACAGAGATTTTTAGTTGTCACCAATATTTAATCTCCCTTTATTTAATACTAGAATGTGTGAGCTTTATTAGGGCAACCGAGCTAGAGATTACATTTCCAAACCTCCCTTGCAGCTTGATATTGACATGAGACTAAATTCTGGGCAATGAGATGTAGCTGGAAGTTAAGTGCCACTCTGGGTCACATCTCTAAGAAGATGGGTCACGTCTTCCCACTAGAAAAGAGGTACTAGAGGAATTGTCTAGTACCTGGAGATGAAAGCCACATGTTGACGACACACTCTCATTCTGCCATTTTGTTCGGCTCAAGTCAGCCTCTCAGCATGTCCTGGACTGCTCCTTTCTCATGTGAGAGAAAAGTAGACTTCCACCTTGTTTAAGCCACTATACTTTTGGATCCTATCAATAGAGCATCTTCATCTGCACCCTCATGAATACAGACATTTACAGCACACGGGCAGTGGTCAGCCTTTGAATTTTTCCTGACTATGAACATGAGAGGAGAGGGCATGTTTCACTCCTCAACTGGAGCAGGGCATCCACCATCCTGACCAAGTCACAAGTGTCTCTCACCTGTACGACAGAAATACCCTTCCAACCAGCCTCCTTGCTTTTACTCCTGCCTCACAGTCTCCAAATAGCAATCGGAGTAAGGTGTAAATTATATTAAGCCACCCCCTGCTTACAATCTGCTAATGACCTCCCCTTGCAGTTCGAACAAAGGTCAAGCCCCCCCTCATGACCTGCTGCCACGGTCTGCCTTTCTTCCTTCCCCTCTGCATCTCTTTCCTTTCTCCCCCTGGCCCACCTCACTCCAGCCACAATTGCCTTCAGCTGTTCCCTGAATGTGCCACATTGATTCCCACCTCTGCCTTCTCTGCCCCTGGTACTTGCCACTGAGATTAGTTTTCCCCGGGAGCATGCTTAGCTTGTTCCTGACCTTTGTGTCTCAGCTCAAATGTCACCTCTTCAGAGAGGCCTCCCTGTGATTCCCAGTCTAAGGGAGCATTCCTTGCAGTCACTTTCTGTCACATCACTCCCCTTGGTTTTCTTTACAGCAGACATCACTCTTTGAAATTATCTTGTTTACTTGCTTTCTGTTTTCCCTCCACTAAAATATAAGCTCCAGGAGAAAAGGAACATTCCATGTCTTATCCACTGCTTATCCCCAGTTCTGACAAGAGTATGTGCCCATTGCAGACACTCAGTCAAAACTTGTCAAATGAATAAATAGCTCCGAGTGGCCACAAGCATGAAGTGTCTTTGAAGTCCTCATTTTTAATCTTAAAAACCCATACAAATAGAGCACCCCCTCCATTTATGTTTGTGGGAAGCCTTCCCATGCCCCCAACCCATTGCCATGATTCGAAAAGTTTGCCTTCATACGCTTTCAGATACTAACACTTTGATGAGAATAGGAATTAAGGTGACAGGTTTGAAGGAAATGGACATGGCAAAGATGATTAGGGAGGGCTGCTAGGATGAAGCCTGTTGAAAGGCCTTTGGGCAACCCCAGGGCAGTGTGAGGGTCCTGGGCCTGTGGTTGGGAAGGCCCTTCAAAGGGTGGGCACAGTGGGTGCAAAGTTGGAAGTAAAAGGGCACCATGAGCAAAGAAAACATCAAATTGGTAGCTTTACTGGGTGTGTTTGCGTTTCACAGCTTCCGTAACAAATTACCACAAACTAGGTGGCTTAAAACATCAGAAATTGATTCTATCACAGCTCAGGAGGCCAGAAGCCCCAAATCAAGGTGTCCACAGGTTTGGTTTCTTCTGGAGTTTCTGAGGGAGAAATGTCCCACACCTTTCTGCCGGTGTCTGGTGGTTGCCACCAATCCTTGGCATTGCTTGGCTTGTAGCTGCACCATTCCAGTCTCTGCCTGTGTCTTCATGTGTCGTTTTCTTCTGAGTCTCTGTGTCTTCTTTTTTTCTGTCTCTTTTAAGGACACTCCTATCGGATTTAGGGCCCTCTTTAACCCGGTATGATCTTGTCTCGATCATTACTGTCAATATATTTGCAAAGACCCTCTTTTCAAATAAGGTCACATTTTGCAGTTCCAAGTGGACATGAACTTCTGGGGGGGCATTATTCAACTCACTATTCTGGGGTTGGCATGGCCGACTCTGATGACCTGGAGACTCAGCTGGATGTGGCAAGAGGAAAAAAGTGCTATCTTGGGGAGAGAGAAGAATATGAAAGAAGCTGCTTAGGGAGTCAGAAGAGCAAAAAAGGGAGACATTGGCAAAGAGAATAAAATGATGGGTGTGAAAGAATGGGAGGCAGTGACTGGATGACTGGAGGTAAGTGGGGGAGAGCATGAGTTTTAATGAGAAGGTGAACTCATAAAACAATACTGGGCATGGGGGGAGTCAATTTCTGTCTAGATTTCTGCAGATTGATTAGAAAGGAGTGAGAATAAGTTGCAGGCAGTGAAAGAGACCTGGAAGGCTTTCTAAAACCACAAAGACTTTCTGAGGGTTTTTAATTGCAGTTAGTTTGGGAGGAATCTCAATAGTCAAGTCTAAATAAGAAGTTTTTATTTTCCTCATCATTCCATCAAGTGGATTTGGAAATCCTCCCCTTCTTATCCCTTGATCTCTCAAAAAGATTTCATACCTCTCCAGTCCTTTTGAGGTATTAATAGTGCAATCTAGTTTAGTATCTTTAATCTCCAACTCCACCTAAAGCTCATCGCCTTTCCCATATCAGAGGCTAGGCTTATAGCACAATCTTGATGTATATATGGGTGGGACCGGCCAACCTGAGATACGTGCTCCCTACTCCTCCCTCTCCCAGATCTAGCTTTCTGATGTGGAAACCAGGAATGAGAGGTAGGAAGGCAGATATTCTTTTAGATGATTGTGTTGGTTAAGTTACAGGCTAAGCCACCAAACAGGGAAACCTCAAACACAGGGGCTTCAGTAAAATAGAAATGTCTTTCTTAAATAATAGGTTAAATATAGTCAGGAGGTCTAGGGTTGGTAGTTGTCTGTACTCTACAAAGTTATTTAAGGGTTCAGGCTGACCGGTTGGCTGTTTCTCATAACTTGTCTTCCCTTCTGGTCTCCATTGTCCTTTGCATGGCGTGGCAAGAATGAATGAAGTCCTCCTGTGCTTTCTCTGAGTACGAAGATGAAGGAAAGCTGAGGTGGATATATACCACCTTCCTCGGGTACGTGACACAGCACAGTCTCTAAATGCCTGTGAGCAAGGGTTACTCCAACAGAAATCTCCAGGAGAGTAGATATCAGTCCCTCTGTTCACTTACACTTCTGAACTCCCAGGGGCACATGTAATGTTCTCTAAGACTGCTCAGAGAGGGACCACTTTTGGCAGGAGTGGGGGGTCCTGCACATTTCTGCATCAAAGCAAGCATCCATTTGAGGAAAGAGATGTCCAGCCTCCTGGTCCAGTCTCTGTCAGTGATTCAACTGGCATTCGCTTTTCACTTGGCTTGGGAAAGAGGGCATGTCATCTCTCCCATGGGGAGAAGAGGGCACAGTCTTACATCACAAACACTGGTATCCCAATGCTGCTGATGTTCTCACTGCCCTCCCCAGCATTCTCAGGTGGCTGG